GATAACCAAAAAAATGTCAGGTTGTTCGTTTTGTTGTTTCAAGAAAGCAACAGTTACTAGCTTGTAGAATTAGCTTAACTAAAGCTCAAATGGAAAAGACATTATTCAAAAAGAATGTTCTACGTGCACGGAATTAAGAGTGTAGACTTTGCTGAATTTTAATTTTTTTCGTTTCCCTTATTGCATTTTTGAAATCTGACATCACATTCAACCCGAAAACTTAATTGTTAACACAAAAAATATTTTACTTTTGCAAATCAACAATAATGACAAATAATTTTAAATACATAATAACAAATATATTTTCGTACTTCTGTCATTGTAACGTCTAACGTTTTAAAAACGTAGTTTAATGTCATCCGTATTTCTCTTGACGTGTATTGGAATTGTTGGATTATTGAAAGTTTTGCTTGCTAGGTAAGATCTTAACTGCAGAGATACTTTAAAGGAGTTTGCACTCTTGGTCTTATGAGCAAATCAGAAGGAGCTTGGACTAACTTTGTGCTGATTGCGGTAAACTTTAGAAACTAGCCTTACCCTATAACTTTCAACCCAGCAGAATTCATGGCCTGCAAGTACACATACATGACACATCAAACTGTATTTGAAGGTGCAATACCTCTTGGATTTTCGTTTGGTTATAGACTTCCTTGGTAGAATCCTAGATTATAACAAATCGAATCTACCATGAACCTCAACTGGAAATTCTGAAATTAACCCCAAATGACGTATTACAGAGATCAAACCTATAAATGGAACTCGAATTGAAACTCGATTAAGTGGATTGGATTCTCAATTAAGATATTCAGATAAATCTTAAGTTTTTCGAAATGTAAAATGTGATCAAAGTTTTTATCCTCTTTAACAAATATTTTTATTGAATTTACTTACGTAATACTAATAATTGGACGCAAAGAAATTTTTAAAAACAAACTTTAATTACTTTACTTTTTAAAAATAATGGGTTTAAAAAAATGTAAAACTATAGAGCCGGAAAATTAATAATTAGAAAATTAATGGTTTTAAAAATTGCACTATTTGTTTTAAACATTGTAAAATGTCAGATTATGGAAGATCTTTTGCTTCTATACTTTAAGTAGCTTCACCTTTATTTTCTACACATAACTCACGAAGATTATTTACGCTATAAGTTTAGTTTTTTTAACGGATTGTACAAATTATAAAAAAGCGACAACCTACAAATAAATCTCCACCTCTAATATTAATATTAATTAATTCATATAAAAATACATTCATCCAAATCAAATATGACTGAAATATAAAAAATATAAAAATGTCCTTATATTATCTTTTTACTTATTATATTATAACATCAACGATGTTTTTGTTGGGATGCTTGTTTAAGATTCATTTTAAATATAAAAACATGTAAAGTATTTCAGAAATTATATTAATTTTATAATATTTTAATTAAACAAGGCAAACTCAAGATTTTTTTAATTGATTCTAGAAAGTTACTTAAATTTCTTTATTATCAGTTTAATTGCTGAAAAAATAGATTATGTTTTAGTGACTTTGACGGGAAAGATGTTTATTTATTAATTTCAATTACTTACAAAAAGCAAAAATTATTTTTATCACTAAAAAGTAGTATTTTACATCATTTTTAAAAACTTACCTATATCTTCCTTATCCTTATTTTAATCACAAAACTTTTTTTACTTCTGATCACTTATGATATTGTATATATATTTTTTTTATTGTTTTTGTCACTTTCCACTTCTTATCATCCCATATATTAAGAATATTATTAAGAATGATGAAAAATATTTTTTAAAAAACATGTGTTCTTCACTTTGTAATCTGTAATATTCTGTAATATTCATCATCATGTATAATACTCGCACTCGACCACGTGGAATAAATTAGAACCTCAAAACTGCGCGCGCACAAAAATTTGAAATTATTTCAGCCAATAGCGACCGTCATCATCGTATTTCAACCAATCGCGACCGCCATCATGTCATTTTCACAACCAATCACGACGGTCACTCACAAACTACAGCCAAAAAAATAGCTGTTTTTCTATTAAAGATTCTTAGCCCATTATTTTTTTCTGTGAAAATTGATAATTATAAAGATCCTTGAATAAAATATGTATTTCATGTATTTAGCATACATATAACCGCAGTGTCATGTGGGAGTTTAATTTAAATTATTTTGTGCATCTAAAAAAATTGCTTTGGATAACGCATAATTTTTTGTTATAATACATTTATTTTTACTTTTAAATATTCTGCATGTAATTAATTAATTAAAAGAGCATTATTTTCTTTGTTTGGAGTTTGCTGGATGGTAACATTTTTTTAAAAAATGTGTACAAGATGCAAATTTAGTAATTGAGAGTGAAGGGCTGGTTATTTATACATATGAAGCTTAACCAACTGCCACTCTAATTCTGTCTGAAGAAGAAAATGATTTATTTTGCAATTATTTATATTCAAAAATTAAAATTAGTTTCTCTTTACGTTTATCAAGTAACGGTCGAATTTTATTTGTTCGAAATGGAAACTGTTAGTGTTGACAAAGAAGTATTTGAAAAAAATGCAGAGATGCAATGCAAGGAAAAAGTAACCAGTGTATGTGAAGTATGAAACAGTTTGAAAGTGTAAAGAATATTTTTAAAAGTGATGAAATCAGTGTAAAAAAAAAGATCTTTCTCTAAATAAAATTAATAAAAAGATTTATTGACGTGATGTTTATTTTATTGATTTTAACTAGTGACCTGATGATGATGGCGAACCAGACCACCGAAACGTCGACTGGTGGGCAAGGGTTTAAAAAATGTAGATGCAAGGTAGCATCTAATCAGTGCAATACAAATAGGTGTTCTTGTTTTAAAGCAAAAATAAAATGTAACTTTCGATGCCAACAGACCTCAACATGTTGTAATAAATAGAAAATGAAGACACTATTAAAATGAAATTATTATCTTAAATATTTATTTAATTGTTGTCACCATTTAGCTTAATGCCTAGGAATTAAGCTAAACGTCTAACTCTTCTTATTACCTGCGACATATTTACTCACATTTGAGAACTACGTGATTGAATAAACATTTAAGCATGGAAAATATTTAGCAACATACTTGAATTGCTTTTACTGCAGACCTCATTTCATAAACGTATTTTACCTATTCATTGAGTCGTTATTTAATTTTTGTTTAGATGCATCCAATAAACTACGAAAACTGATATTCTCATGATGTTTATCCGATTGGCAACTTAAATGACTGAATCTTGTCTCTAATCCCTGAATATCGGTCTCTTCATTTTCGTTTAAATTCAATACACTCAAGGTTTTACTTTTCATTCTTCACACAATCTTATAAACTCTTCTCTTATATCACTTGAGCAACTAGTACGTTTGTTTCATATATGATACTTATATACAGAATAATATTTCATTTCTACAAATACATCATCTCAGCTGACAGTAGCAGTCGACAATTTCTTCCTATTTTTCTCCGTTGATGGCACAGTTATTGTTATAAGTTAAGTGCCACATATTGAGTAGCCAAAAATGCCCAAAATGACTTTGAAGAAGAAAATAATGTTTTGAAATGTTTTATAGAAACACAAGTTTATTTAAACTGATGTCCAAATGTAATTTTCGGTGACACTTAGAGGCTGTTTTAATTAAATAAATTAAGTTCTTTATTATAGAGTCTTAAATGGTGAACTTTATAAATAAACAATTATTTATATCATCTAACTAAATAAAAACGATGAAATAGTCTATTTAATTAAAGTTCAACACCTAATGAAAATTATACTTTTGCCTAAATATCCAATTTAATGTGTATAAACAGTTTTATAACTCTTCTGTAAAGTTATATTGAATGAAGGTATGGAAACTAAGGTGACGACATGGTTCGTTTCTTGAGTGTAATACTGAGTTTTTAAAAATATAAAGTCTGTACCTATATATTGGCGGACTGGTGGGACTATCTACTGCAAATTTACTTGATATAGTTATAGTATCGGTCTTCAAAGAAGAAAGATAACGCCGATTTACGATAGTGTCCTACGACTACCAACATAAAGCAACGTGGAGTGTTAGGATACTATCTTAAATCACTTTTTTATCTAAACGTCAAAAAGCAAAGAAAATAAAGAAGAAACGAACAATTTATGTTTTCATTTTATATTTTATTTAATTATAGAATCACAGAAAAATATTTATTGTCAATAATTTTTCTATATAAATTTACTTCATTTCTTTTAATTTAAATAATTCCTTCAATAATAAACTTTTAGTTATTTTGTTTTTTATAATTAAATCTCCTAATTTATTTCTAATTTCAGAAATATTAAATTTTCTTTAGGCCTTGAATCAGCTGAGCTCTTAGTAAAAAAAAGTATTGGAACACTGCTGAGGTACTTGTCAATGCTAGTCAAGTGAATACAGGCATCGCATTCAGCTTGAGGGGTAGACGTATTCACCATGCAACCCAATCCATACTTTTCACGATAAAGCATTCAATGGATGCAACGCCATTGAGTAAAATCCAGTGTTCCAATACTTAATGTATTTTCGTGTTCCTTAGAACATTTGTACTCAGTTGACCTTATTTTACATAATTTTTAAAAACTTACCTATATCATCCTTATCCTTATTTTAATCACAAAACTTTTATCCCTTCTGATCACTTATGATATTTTATATATATTTTTTTTTATTGTTTTGTCACTTTTCACTGTTTATCATCCCGTATATTAAGAATATTATTAAGAATGATAAAGAATATTTAAGAAAAAACGTGTTCTTCACTTTGTAATCTGTAATATTCATCATGTATCATGTATAATACTCGCACTCGACAACGTGGAATAAATTTTAAAACCTTGCAATATTCCGTTCAACTTGTCTATTTTATATAGTAAAACAAAGAAGCTTAAGTACTTATTAAACATAAAATCAAATGTTTTAAATAAAATGAAAGCTACTAATAATTTATGTCAAATTTTTTATTAAAGGTCACATGGGTCAGGCGAAGGGATAGACAACTACTGACTGTTGGTGCCACGACTCATTCCGTCGATTTGAGATTCATGATTAGGCCTTCAAACACTGACTGGACTCTTCTTATTCACAAAGTAACTCTTGAGGATGCTGGACTCTATGAATGTCAGGTAATTAAATGTTTGTTGTATTGAAAAGAATTCTTTATGTGTGTAAAAGATGGCTTGTGTTTTGTGATTGTTTATAGATACAACAATACTCACTTTTGATGTTTGCAATATCAAAAATGAAAAAACCATTCAGGCTTGTGTTGGGTATATGTGGTTTGTAAATAGTGCAAAAATAGGAAACAGAACAATTTTTTTAATTTGAAAAATTTAATGTTGACAAAGCAGTACGGGACTCCAAATGGATAAATACTGTGTCTATTTAACTTTATTGGGAGTTTTCTCATCTGAAAATGTAATCATTCAGGAATATTTCTCTTTATTTAAAAAATTTAAAAATTGTTTGCATTACAATTCTCGTTTTGAGAGCTGCCAAAGAAAAAAGTCTCAAGATTATCGCATCGGTTCAGCAATATTCAAAAAATTTTTAGTATCAATTTCAGAAACGTGTTTTCGAGAAATCATCAAATTTCTCAACTTACATAGAATTATTAACACTAGACCCATTATAGTCTCCTAAGGTTAGTGCAATATTTATGCCGTAAAAATATTACTTTCAACGTCATATTCCGCCTAACTATCACGTAACTTACAATAGCCTAAAACACAGCAGGCGCGCGCGGTATGGCGTGTTTTAGTCGGAGGTTTACTCTTCCGGCTGTAACTTCGTCATTTATTAAGATATTAACTTTAAATTGTTACCAGACATTCTTGAAATGTCAGGGTTCAAAAAAATTAAAAAATATACTTATTACCATGCTTGGTGTGGGTATATCTCCCCACAGGGAGTTAAACTATATAAAATTTTAACCTCAATAAAAAAAATTGTAGTTTTTCAATAATATTTTGTCAACCTCTTAAGTGTTTTACTTTTACAAGTACTCTAAAATGCATGGATGCTGTCTTTTCGGTTTGACGACGTTTTCAAAAGTCGTGACACATCTATCAAAATTATATTAGTTCGTGACGTTTACTCATACGTCATAAACTGAAAACATTTTGACAGATGTGTCACTACTTTTAAACTTCGTGAAACCATTCATTTTCGTTTTGATAGATTTTCCTAAATTTTGTTAATCTATTAAAAGTTTTTAAATATTTGAACTTAATTGCAGTTTTTTTTAATATTTGTTATTATTGTTTTTGCAGTAAATAATACAACGATCATATTATAATTCTTTATAAATAATAATTTTTATTTTAAGAATTAAATTTTTTGTTAAATAATAATGTTGAATTAATTGTTAAAACTTTTTTTCCGGTGGGCCTTCGACGTCTAAAATAGTGTATGAACATCCTTGAATTTAAAAATCGAACTATGATTTATTGTTGGGCGTGCATCCGTGCGGCTACAGACAGTCAATTTTTAAAGTCATTTTCTAACATTCAATATTCAGAAAAATAATCGGTTTTTTATTTAAATTTTTGAAAAAATAGTATTTTAAAGCCTAGATCAAAACTGTATTATTATTTTAAAGACTAACACGATTTTTAAACATATATATTTGTAACTTCTCAATATTTAAAAATTATTCATTTAGTGATTAATTAAATTTTTATTTTTATAATTTTTTCTAAGAAACAACTGAAAGGAAGGACATTTTCCAAACTGATGTTTTTACAATACATTTTCTAATATTTAAGTGTGTAAGTCAATAACAAAATTTTTTCGGTATTAAAGTTTTAAATATTTTAAATTCAGATAAGTAACTATTACATTAATCTTTATCTCAAATTTTTCATTTTTTTTCTGAACACTTTTGACTTCACTTAAGCCATTCAGTTAACTGCAGATGCTTCTTCGTTCTTAATAGGAGCTATATTAACACAAGAAAAGGATGATGTAGACCTCCCTGTGGCCTACTACTCTAAAGTTCTAAGTGAATGTGAACAACTATATGATGAAGCAGAAAGAGAATGCTGTATGCTGTTGAAAATTTCCGAGCTTATCTATATGGACGAGAATTTACTTTACAATGTGATTTTAAACCTGTGCTTTGGATGTTATCTATAATAAACCCAGAAGCAAGACATTTACGATGTCGGTTAAGACCTAGAGATTATGATTATAAATTCGATTATAAAAAGAGCAAAGCAACATCTAGAGCTGAGGCATCATTCGAAAACCCTTGCTTAAAAAAAGCGATAGCGACTTACAAGTAAATCTGCTAAAGTGCCATCCGCCTATCTTATACAAAATAGTCTTCTTCTGCAATGAACATAAAAATATTAAATTTGAACTTTGTTTAAGAATTTCCATAAAGTTTTTAGAGGTGAAGATTACCCTTACATTATCAGTGTATGTTGTATATACGGATTGTCTTTTTTTATTTTAATTTGCGACATTCTTTAAGCCCTAAGCTGGATTCCCACTTTAAATATTTAACTTTCTTTAATTCAAGATTCTAACTCTTGTCTTTTTTCTAACAAGAGTCATAATATATCTATTTAAAATTTTGAAATTTATAAATTATCTCGTACAAATTTTGAATTAATATTTTCAAATTAAACTTGCACTATAATAATTGTGTGTGTGACGAACTGACTTCGTCACAATTTATCCCTATGGGATAAATAAACAATAACACCATAAATACTTACACAACAACACATAAAAGACAATTTAAACAAATATTGGTTGCCCAGAAATTGTAGGATAAAAAGAAACGGGATAAAAAGACAGAGAATTTGATATATTTTTCAATTGATTTAGCTTTGCATGATTAAAGTCAATGAATTCTTTAGCATTTATATTCTACAATACTTATGAGCAAATCTAGAGTGGTATGTCCAAGTTTAATGAACCAGGATCACACCACTGTCAAAATGCAAACAATGCAAAATGCACCGGTCGATGACCGCGTGTTAGTAAGAAAATAACGATTTCCACACCCGATCTTCGGTGCACGAAATTAATCGAACTGTGGAAATCGAGGAGTTGGTTTTAGATTTCCTTTAGGGAAGGTCGTCAGAAAGGTTATTCAGTTGGAAACCTGAAATAAATAGGTTGTTTGTTTGATAGAAAAGAGATTCCTTATAAGTAGTAAAGTGGAAATTAAAGTTAAAGTTAAGTCAAAGTAGATAAAAATATATGTAAAGTCAAGGCAATTACGGAAAATTCCGGAAGTTAAAACCGGAGTGTAATATTCTAAACGGAGAAAAAAATATAAGTGTATACCATAAGAAAATATTAAAGATTAAATTGAAGAGCAACCAAAGTAAGTCGAATTGTATTTTATGTCATATAAGACTATAACACACTACACTATACACATAATTATTGTAAGATAATAAAATTGCGTCAGAATTGACTCAAAATAAAGTTTGTTATTGTTTAAATAAAGAGTAAAGTAAAATTTGGGAGACGCCTCCTTTTATGCACATGAAAGTTTGAATTAATACAATTATATATTTTGTTCATTAGCATAACTTTTGTTTTAGTTATTTAACAAACCTTTATTTCCTAAATTGACACTCCGCCTTAGAAATAGGGATTCTCACCCCGCAGGCTAAATTAATAGTCTGTTATGAGGGGGATCCGTTACCAAACGGGTTTAAGGGTTTCAGATTTTTATCCGTGTAACATTCCTTTAAATTCTTTCATTGTAACGGTTAAATTATTGTTAATATTTAATTCGTTTATTACAGTGTGAAAGCTCCTTTTTTATTCATTATCATTAAAAACTTAAGACTAATTAACTTTATACCTTGACAGGAATCTGAAATCTTAATAGAATCATGAAGCTCACTGTAAAAATCAATACTGGCAAAATGTTGATCTACAATTGAAGTCTTCTGTGCACTGACTACAATATTTTGAAGTGGATGCGGAACATCATTAAAATTAGAGTTCATTTTTTAATGATTGGCATAATCTTTATTAGAAAAATGTTTCTCATAAATATTTTTTTTCCTGAGTTTCATTATTACATTATTTTAATTGTGAGAAACTGTTTTTGAAACTTGCTCTTCTTAGTGGAATAATGCTTAAAGGAAAAGTAAACAATTAATATAATTTATCAAAAGACTTGTAATTATATTCTAATTTTATTCCCTAATATTTTTTGTTTTTTAATAAACACACTTTTATTTAAATATTCCTTGTGATATATTTAGGATATCTTGAGGTTGTTTGTGTCCATTCAAAGGACATTCTAAAGATATCTTATGTCCTAGAGACATCCTTAGGACATAAAATGTATTTTGGAATGTCTTTCGAACGGACATTGACGTCCTAAGGATGTTCTAAAATCATCCCATGTAACAGTGCCCACACGGATATTAATAACAACAACTTTTGAAAACAATCAAACTGAATTACCTTTGTAACTTACAAAATCATAACATGCATTAATTATCATGACGGTTCTTTTATGATAAATTAAAAGTTATGTAAAATTCAATAAATCATTTTCCCTTATTCGTCAAAAATCAAAATTCGCACCAAACATGTCTGTCAGACGCCAGTTAGTTTAATTGTTGAAAAACTAACAAAAACAATAATTCAATAATAAAAAAAGGTAAAACAACAATTCTCTATAAGTCAAAATAATCTCAAAGGAGATTCCGCTGAGAAAAGTTAAGAAGGGAAAGTATAACCTTTTTGAAACACGACTTTTAACCAATAATTTTACTTACTATTTCTTGTCAATTTATCCTTCTGCTATAGTCTACTCTACGAGATCACAAATTATATTATATACGCCATGTGCTTTCGTCGTCTGCTACATTTTTCGCGAAACGCCGGTACACACTTGTCATAAAGGGGAATTTACATTTCTCCCTACGCCTTAAAGTCAAAAGGACTAACGCGCTAAACCCAAAATCAAATAATTATTAATTGAAATTATAATAATAAAAAGAAAGTAAATAATGAACATATCATGACGAAACCACCTCGTCACATTATTTATACATTTTTTATTTGCAAATTTTTAATTATTAACTTGGGTACTTATCGTCGACTAATTTGAACTTTTTCACTTATTTCCGTCCACGTAAAGGCTCTATTTGAATTTTACCAGTAAGATATAAGTATCTCAAGGTCACGTCTTGTTTACTTTTACTCGGAATAATTCGTGTTTCTTCAAAACTCCTGCAGTTTTGCGCAACAGGAAAGTCATGTAAAATGCCCCCTTCCTCTAAGCGTTTCATCCCAAGTGTTCAGCACATCCTTTTTGTATTGGATGGTACCTTATACGGTGATTACGGTTTGACGTGAAAATCATATTGGGACATTACTCTTAATAATGTTTGCTTACTGTACATAGAATTCCACCATGAATTAGCAAAAATGCAATCTCAGCAAAAGATATGGGTGATTCTCCGCGTAGCGCACAATTTAATGTCCCTCATGTTTTTTAAGAAATCAGTTTCATATATTCTAATAAATTCAACGTGGATAACTTATTTCCATGATAACAAATAAAAGTCTATAGTCGTTTTCATTTAAAAGTTTATAATTTTACTTAAAAATCTATTTTAAGGTGCTAAAACGTCATGGTCTAATCAGTCCCCACCACCATTTCATAAATAAAATGTTATTTTTTTAGTAAAATATAATAATAAATATTATGAATATTGACATTTTCTTATTGTCTAAGTTAGTAGAATTGAGAAAAACAAAACTGTGCCACTGTGCCCCCCCTGGATCCGCGCCTGAGTGCCCATTTAAGCAGTACTAGAACTTACGGTGAACTAACTTGAATATTACTTCAGCTTAGCTTCTGTAATGGTAATAAAAGATGAATATAATGAAAAAGTTAGACTCTGGTTAATAATATAATAGTTTCAAAAAAATGTTCTAATAATATGCAATACTAAATGTTAAAAATAATTTCTTTCTTTTAAATACAGGTAGCTACCCATCCTGTTCAACAGAATTTTGCTCGATTGAGAATCACAGAGGCATATTCGGAAATCCCAGGAGCTCCTGATCTTCATGTTAAACAAGGATCGAGTCTTCGTTTAGAATGCGAACTCATGTCAGCCACAGAAGCACCACTTTATGTGTTTTGGTATCGTCAAGGTCGAATGATTAACTACGATTCAGAGCCTGGTGTTCAAGTGGAACTTACAAAGAGTGGATCTGTTCTCTTGGTTCACAATACTAAATTAACACACGGAGGGAATTACACTTGTGCACCAAGCAACGCAAAACCAGCGTATGTTATGGTACACGTAATTGAAGGTAAAAATAATTAATTAATAAAAAATTATTTTCTTAAAAAAGTTAGTTGTTGCACTAACACCCTTTTGTTTTTGACTTATAATTTGTGCCCAAGTAGATATTAAGCGGACATATGCATATTTATTTACAGCTAGGAACCTTACCTAACTACCGACTAAGAACCTAAATTGATTCCCTCTACTTAAATAATTTTATTAAAAATTCAATAAAGTGTTCAACTTTCGCAAAATAATTTTTGGGTCGGTTTTGGGCACCATGAAAAATTTACTAAAAAGAGGAAAAAATTAATTAATTGACACAAGATTTCTCTGACCCCTCCTCCCACATTTTTTTCATCATTTTTCTAATTTAAAAATAATCGATTTTTATATTTTTGAAATAACTTTTTTACCTATTAAAATTTTAATTGATTCTTGCAAAAATTATATTTCTCGCACGAAAACGAATTGATTAATCTACATAAAGTATACATTCTATCAGCATTTATAAAATTAATCGTTATTTACATTTTTAACAAAAAATTCAAATTTTGTATTTTTGAAAATTTTATCTTAAAACTTTGAAATTATTATTCAATAATATAAATTAAGCCAACCCATAAAGCTTTAATTTCATCAAAGTTTAAAAAATAGGTTGCCTTTTTTAAGAAGAAATTTTTTATTATATTGAGAAAGAGAAATCATGAAATGAACAACTTGTTTAATTTTATTTTTTGATTTTGTTGACTAACGGAATAAATTAAATTAAATATAACTAAAAGAATTGTTTTAAAGGTAAATTTACTTAAAAGTTATTTCTAAGGTAAATAAAAACGTGTCGGTATTATTATTATTATTATTATTATTATTATTATTATTTATTGTGGTAAAAACATGTTACTACAAACGAATTCATTCGGACCAAATGTTATTTTATATATTTCTCCAACGTTTCGAAATACCAACCATTTCCTCTTCAGGCAGTCTATCAAACAATAATATAAAAATTTAAAATGTTGAACAGTGTCAAGAATGACACTGTTCCTCATTTTATACAATAGGATGATTTTAAAATTTTACACACTGAACCAAATCTCAGTAAACGTTTATTTGCTGAAATGATTTTTATAAAAAAGGATAAAAGTTTAAATAAGATGACAGATTTGGATAATTTTGATAAATCGTATAAAATAATTTTGGATTTTATTTCAAAGCAATAAATACTCATTTCTCTTATTCTCTGTTCTTGTATTGTTTTGTTTATATACGTATGTATTATTGTAAGAGGGCAATAGTATTTGGAGCTCAGTTGATGTTGTAATTTGATAGCTGACACAAGTTAAATTTTATTTAATTTTACTCGTTTGTCCACGTTTAATTTAATTTATTTGCTTGTGTGTTTATATTATTATTTATTTATTATTTTTTAATGTCTTGTGTGATAATAATGTTTTGTCTATTCATGAAATTTATTTTTTGTGATTTTTGTGAATGGATTATTTCTTTTTTGTTGGTTCGTAATTTTTTATTATTTAATTTTTATTATTTTTTTATTATTTTATAATTTTTATTATGTAATTTTATTATTTAATTAATTTAATGAATTTGAAATTTTCTTTTCTTTTATTTATTTTTTTATTATTTTATAATTTGTATTATGTAATTTTATTATTTAATTAATTTAATGAATTTAAAATTTTCTTTTATATATTAATTTCAAGTTATTAGTAGTTCCAATTTATTATTTACTTTAATTTTGATTTTCACTCTATTATTTTTTCATTTTAGTTATTATTGACTTCAATTCCCATTGTTTTCCAACGTTTTTGGGTTTTACGTAAAAATTAACAATTTTTTTTTATGACGATTTTTATACTTTTATGACGATTTGAAAAAGATGATGTAAACAATATCACTGATTTATTTCGGTAAGAAATGTTAAACTCTTATTATTTTGTATTTATTATAATTCTTAATATTGTATTAATTTGTAAATTCGTTTATCACATTTTAAATTTTTATATTATTGTTTGATAGACTCCCTGAAGAGGAAATCATTGAGATTTCGAAACGTTGGAGAAATATATAAAATAACAGTTGGTCCGAATGAATTCGTTTTTATTTACCTTACAAATAACTGCTCGGACGTAAAAGATTGATAATTACTTAAAAGTTTTTATTCGATTATTTTTAGTCCTTGAAAATGTGACGAGGCCCTACGATTTCTCTTTTAAGTACAAGGACAGATATCGCACAAGACGACTTTTCAATAGACAGGAAGCATTTCCCCCGAAAACCGGACTAGACTGCATTCCTTACGCAATACAAAAGACAACCATCCTGACTTTTCCCAAAAAGGACTAAAAGGGCAGATTGATGTTGACTGGCATACGTGTGAGACGCATTTTCTCTCCGCTTTAAAATAAAAGTGTAAAATAACAAGTGTTTGTTTTATAATAAAAAATAAAGTATTAAATTAAAATACTAATTTATTATTTTCCCGTCACAAAATTGGCGATCCTGCCAGGATAGTTCGACACGATTACGATCAAAATCGACTATCTTAGTGCGAACCAGTGGAAAAAAAGAGAAAGTTTTGTGAAAAAAAAATTATTATTGTGGAAAGTGGAAAATTATTTTTGTGAAAAAATATATACATATATATATATAATTATTTTGTGAGAAATTATTATTGTGAAAAATTATTTTTTTTGTGAAAAAAAATAATTGTGACGGATTATACGGTGAAATTTTCACTGGAAATCACCGGAAAACACGAACTCGGGCCGAATTAAGTAAGTTCGACAGTGATTCCGTGGGTGTAAGTCCTAGAAAGGGTGTGACGTCACCCAACCAAGTTGGCAACGAGGGAGAAAAATTCTTACGAGGACACTTTTCCAGCCCAGCTGTTCAACTTTTCAACGTGAGCTCTCTACGGAAAATTCACCAAACCAGTAAGATAGTATTTACATTATAAGTATATGTTGCTATTAACTCCGTAAATAGTCTATATTGCGAAAATAAAAATATAATAACAAAATTTAGGGAAATTTTATATTTAAAACAATTTTTTACGCTGGCTTTTAAATCTTATCTTAGGCATTTATCCGGTTACGAATCCGCTAATAATCAGTGTTTACAACCAACCCAAATTAATCCCAATCCCTTTAATCTTTCAAACACAAAAATGGCAACAGTTAATTTAGAGACAATTGCTAATAGTCTTAAAGAAATTGTTTCTAAAGTAACAGTAATCGAGGAAAATCAACATAGAATAAATTCAAGCCTCGCGATTCTTAACGACGAAAATATAAAACGCACAGAGGAAATAAAAATTTTAGCACGACAAAACAACGCATTGCTAACCGAAGATGACGACACCGAGAATGAAAATAGTAATAAGGAAAATAGTCAAGAAAGAGAAAGTTTCGCGGACGATAGAAGAGACTCGTCGAACAGACATCGCAACGGGGTATCTCCAATACTTCAAACGAACGTTGTCCCTGTTAGTTTGCTACCTGCTAAAGATATTATCCGTACAGTTGAAACCCTCAATGGTAAAGACGATATAGGGGTACAAGATTTCATTCGTCGCGTTAAAAAAGCAAAACAAAGATGCAGTCAACCCGAATTGTTGTTAGATTTTATATTGACTGAAAAAATTACCGATGACGCTAAACGTGCAATTCGCTATGTTCCGATCAATTCTTTTGATGATTTATATATTGCCTTACAACAAAATATGAATCTCGGATTATCCGTAGAATTATGTCGCGCGAAATTAGACAACTGTCGACAGGGTAGTGATACCGTCCAAGGATATAATTTGCGATTTCGGCAAGCATTAAATGAATTGAATTATGCAATACAAGCCGAACACGCAAATGCTACAGCCCGTAGAATTGCTTTGCAATTAGAAGAGACATCTGCCATAAAAAAATATATCATGAACTTACGGGATGATATTACTTTTTTGATGTGGACACTTAATCCGGATAGTATTGGTAAAGCTCAACAACAAGCTTTAGAAGTAGAAACCCGATTACGTGAAAAAGCTCGACTACGATCAGGCGCCGCGCCAAGACTGGTCCCGCGTGCGACACAACTCCATACTACATCCAATCATTCTACAAACCCAAGGCCTTTCTCTAATAGTGGAAATCCATCAAGTTCACATCGGCCTATCGGGGCACAATGCAACTTTTGCAAAAAAAGTGGTCATTTAGAGAGCCAATGTTATCAAAAAAGAAATCAACAGAATTTTCAATCAAACCCCCAATTAAAACGACCACCAAATCGAGTTCATTTCACGACCGAAACATCCTCAGCGGAGGAACAAATCGGAGAAACACAAACACCACAGGAAACGACGGAACATTCATCGATAGAATTACACGAATTTCCGGACGACTACAATCAGTGTCAGTACGACCAACAGGATTTGCTCGACCCTTGCGATTACTTGTGGACTCCGGTTCATCAATAAATTTGATAAAAAATTCTTTACTTCCTCCATTAATTATAAAAGAAGCCTGTAAAAAAGAATTCCAAATGGGGAATTGGAAACAATTTTCCGAATTTAAAGTCGAGATTAATTATCTAAACGAAGCTCATACGTTTTACATCGTAAATGATGATTTCCCTCTTCCTGAAGATGGTATAATGGGATTGCCATTTATGCAAAGTTACAATTACAGTTTATCAAACGTTAACTTAAAGTTAAATCAGCAGAAACATCCACTAATCGATGACGGGTATATTATCCCGCCAAATCAAATCAAATTGATCAACATCCCTGTATTTGAAAAAAAAGGTGATGTTGTAATTTTTGATAATCCACACATTCCTGATTCTATCTATTCAATAAGAGATCGAACGATCACTGTTCCCATTTGTAACAACTCTTCGCAATTTAAACACATTAATTCCAACGAATTTAAATACCAACCTATCAAATCAACCATCCCTGACGAAGAAATTCATCTTATATCATGCAGCGACTTATCCAAACGGTTAAATCTT